GAGTTTCATGCCCTGAGTTAATTTTTCAGTGGTGTGTTGATAGGGATCATGCTCTCGCTGCTCACAGGCTTTACCTGAGTGAGAAAAGTGGCCTCAGGAATTCTGTGGTGATCCCTGCATGTGAGAAGATGGGAGTTGCTCTGTCTCTCTGATCTAGTGGCGGTTAAAAGAAAACATGATCATGAATGGATCAAATTTGATGCCAAGTTGTGTGGTCAGTCCTGTCAATAAAACAGAAAGGTTAGTGGTGCCACCTCTACACAGCCACTTTGCAGAGCAAAACTTTGTTAACTATAAATGTCTTGATTTACAAACACATCTGTGGCCACAGGGTTGGGTTTAACAGATGAACCTTTTTGGAGCCGTGGGGTTTTTCAACCTTCATTCTACTTCAGTGAGTATTTTAATTTTTTCCCCCTTCTGAAGAAGCTTGCAAGTAAAAATGGGACTAAAATCAAGTATTCTGCCTCAGCTGAACATCTGAGCATTCCTCTGTGTGTGGATGTGCCTTCTGGAAGAAAAGGCCAAATGAGATGTGGCGGGCAAACCGGAATTAAAGAAGATTTATAATAAATAACTCTTGATTAAAGTGTAGATTATGGGAGTATATGAAAAACACAGACATTACACAACTCAAAATCAAATCCTGGTAACATGCTTTAGAAATAACTGGCTAATGGATGTCTCAAATTGCTGCCAGACTTCTTTGAGAAGTCATGGAAAACTAGGAGAGAGATAAAAATGTGACATCTGGAACCAAGTTACAGTTTCTCATAAAATGCAGAAGAATTGCAAAAGAAAAAGCTCCTCCAGCTCCAAGATGAAGCCTTCAGTGATGGAGCCCACAGGCAGCTGCACATTTGCCCTGACAAATGCAGCAGCTCCTGGGGTGGAGAGGACGACTGGACCCCCCTGTCATACCCCTGGGCAGGATTTCTGGCCTCGCATCTTCTGCAGATGTTAAGAAAATTATAAGCATGAGCATAAAAATGTTGGTTATAATTTGTAACCACTACTGCACCTTCTCCAGCTCTTCTGTCTTCCTTGGTTGATTCAGTAAAAAAATCCAACCTGCCATTTCTTTACGCAGTCACTCAGTCCTCTATGGTCTTTTTGCAGTTCTTTGTGGTCAGCCCTTATCTGTAACCTCCTGAGTTATCGTCATCAGTCTTTGCCATTTCACTTCTCATTTCCCTTTCCCAGATACTTTGAGACTATTTCAAAGAGCCCAGATTCCAGCAGAACTTACTGGGGACCCTCCTCCATCAAAGAACTGGTTGGTTATTCCTTTCTTCTTGCCACTTCTTTATTTAAGCACAAGCCTTCCTCATACTGTGGCAGCTTAGTTTCCTTAAAATCCTTTCAGGAAGGGTGTTGCAAAACGATTTTGGAACTCCAGGTAACCTGACCCACCTGCAGGTCAGATCTTCCTTACCCACATGGTTGTTGACTCCTCTGGAGAGCTTGGATAGGTTTGTGAAGCAGGAGGAGAGAAGCTTGCATTGACTTTTCTGAAGTACAAGTAGTGCTTGTTAAAGATGACAGTTTTCCTTATTCTTACTAATGTGTCCTGTGACTCATCGCTCTTCATTTTGTCTGTTTACTCCCCAACTTCTTGACATTTCCACAGGAAGATCTGAACTCGGAGGCTTGGGCTAGTTTTAGTTCCCCCTGCAGAGCATGGGGTCAGCATAGGAATCCTTCCAGCTTCTTCCCCAGCATCTGCACATGCAAAAAAATCATTTCTTTATCCTCACAGTTTTGCTTTTTATTCCCATGTCATGTGTATGCACTCTCTGGCAGGCTTCCTGCTCTAATGGAGCCTTAAGAAGATAACCACTAGTTTTGAAGGCTCTTGCTAGCTGTCCCCCAAACTTTTCTGCCCTACGCTGACATGGGTTTGGTACCTGACAAGCCTTTCATGTAACAAGGGAGGAGTAGGGGGCTCCCTTTTGCTGGACCTGACCAGCAAAAGGCAGCTGAAGCTGCCTCCTTTGCTTCTGCATTTGCTGTGCAGGTGGCTGATGGCATGGACCGGACTGTGCTGTGCCCCATGGGCCATGTATTCCTGCATCCTCCATTGTGGTTTTATTTGTTTTGTTATAAATGCCATTTGGAAGTAAATTCTAGTGGGTCTTTTCCACATCAGCCCTGGCTGCTGTGTTTAATTGTCCTGGGTCTACTGAGTGGTGCTGCTGAAATGCCGTGTTTCTAAGCATAGGCACCAAACACAACTAAATGATCAGCTTTGTGCTCCATCAGCAGAGCTGGCATATTAAACCTTTAATTAAAAGTAGTTTATAGAAGAATTTTACCCATGACAGAGTGGTATTTGGAGTCTATTGTCCGCTTGTACCTTTGTGTGTGGCAGGGTCAGCTGGTGTCTTAAGTTACCCTTTCACTTCGGCTGGGTGGGTGCAAAGTAATAGCAGGAGCACAAGCGCAATGTAAAGGATATAGGATTCATCTTTTCCACCCCAGCAGCCCATAAGCTAAAGGGACCAAGCACCGTGAGATGATTTCGTTTCCCCAGCTGAAGCTTGCTTTATGCTGACTCACACATGGCATTAGTTACTCTTCAGATGTAACGGTCTCACAGGGACACCTCAGAAAGTGAGGGAGTTGTTCACAATGTCAGGACCACCAGGTCTGCTGCATCCAGACACAAATCAGAGAGCAGTGCTGAAGCTCAGGTCTGTGAGCTTGCTGCTGCTCTGCACATCCCCAGGCAGCAGTGCCCAGGCCTGGAGCCCATTAAATGTGGGGCGATTTTGGCATATTTCAGATCTAGCACAAGCATGCATGACAGTGAAAATTCAGGTCTTTACTGTGTGTTGTGTGCCAGGGTGCCTTTGGGGCCATGCTGGGGAGGAAGAGATGAGCCTCAGACTGTCTCTTTGCAGGCTTAAAATCAAAACTAAATTGGCTTTGACAAGGCAGGATCTGGAGAGGAAATGTATCTCACTAAGCTACAAGGGCAAAGGTGCTTTCAACTTGTGCTTGTGCTGAGTCTGCCTTGAATGCTAGGCAGGATCAAAGCAAGAGGAGTGCTGTTTTGATAAGGCCAAGAAGTTAAATTTCCCATTACAAATCAAAACTCGATTAGAAAAACCAATGCCATAAACCACAATAGAACTGCCCTGGATATTATTTTCTTCTTGCAGCTCTTATTTGGAGATTTGAGAGAGCTCTGGAAAATTTAAGGTCCCGTTCAGCAACTCCGAGATATATCCTGGGGGCTTTTCTATTTCCCATGTTCCCATTTCTGCTTATATTTCACAGCTCACACCATGGCTCAGTAGTGCTGGTTTTCTCTGCTGAAATTAAGGGGCTTCTCCAAGCATTTGGGGAAGGGCTGAAATACTCTTTAGTTTGTTTGAATTGCATTTGGGTGCAGGCATGGGGGTCCTATAATGTGGTTTCTTCTACCCATTTCTCTCTTTCTTGAGGGAAACGTTTTCTCTAAACTTCAGTTGCAGCATGTCTGGGATCACGTGTCTGAGGCTTCTGACATGTTTGGCAATTTCTGCAGTTTCCTCCTGTTTTTTTAAGCCCTCCCCTCCCTCCCTCATTAACCTTTTTCAGGTTTGTCATAGCTTTTATTATAAATGATGCTTTCTGTTACCTGCAGTGTTTTTGACCGGTCACTGGTAGATGTTGTATAGTGGAGCATCACAGAGATGCTGCATAGAACAGCAATGATAGAGAAAATGGAGTTGGCACTTAATCTTTTTTGTCAGATTTAGTTGCTTCTCTCCCAGGTTTCTGAGCCCTGGTTGCCAGCAGTGAAGCCTGCAGGACTTGGTTTGGTCCAGCTGTGTAGGCACATGCTACATTGAAAGTTTTGCTTGACCATGTAGGCACACACTCTGGTACAACTTGTCACCATATCTGAGCTAATGAGCCCTGTAACCTTCTTTAATGATAGCGGAAGAAATGATGTAGTTAAATTACCTGATGTGATAATCCATAATTAGCTGCTTGCTGTAGTTCATTCTTAAGCAGGAGTTAGGAGCAGAGGAATTGTGTGGGTTTTAATGACGGAATAGAGTTTGAGCTCCTAGAAGGCTCAAGGCTGGAGGTCTGGTGTCTGTTCCAGCTTTACTCCTGCTCCAGCTTTACTCCTGCTTAGGCATCAAGTAATATGCACCCTAGAGAGGACAAGTAGCTGCTCCTGGGCTTTGAATGAATACAGAGGAGTTGAGGCATGTGTGAAAGGGTGCAGAGGTTTGACAGCTGTTGAAACTGGAGTGATATGTCCACATAAAACACTTTACACATGAAGTAAATGATGCTTCTTCTGCAAAGTGGTATTGATAGTAAGTGTGGCTCTTGGAAGGGTAGGGGAAAAGGTGGATTTCAGAAGGAGTGCAGAAATGGGGAGAGTAAGAGTCTTTGCATCATTTCTAGTTGTCATGTTTCTATAAAGATGTCATAGCGCATGTAGTTTGTGGTCTTTGAAAGTTCAGATTTCAGTGGTCCAGAGAAATCTTTCAAGAGACACAAGTGTGGTTTTGGTGGTGAAGGCTGCTGCATGTCAGAGCTGCATTGTGTTCAGCAGTGAGGATTTGGAGATGGGGTATAATGGAGTTTTCATGCTATTTTGGCGTGACCTTGGTGCAGGGTGGGGACTTGTTGAGAAATGTGCTTTCCTTCTCAAATGCGTTAATGCAGAAATGAAAGCAGTGACCAAGCAGAATATCAGTGGAGCTAAGAGTGAAAGATTTTGTTTTCCTTTTTTAAGAGAAAAAAAGGAAATAATCCGCAGAGAACATGGCTTAAGAATGGATACTGCCATTGGGAATGGCTACTGTGGAAATTGTTAGGGTTGTTGTGGAAAAAGGTGCTGAGGAGGCTAGCCAAAGAGCTTCGTAGAGTTTATGTTTCTACTAGAGGAATGTGCTGGAGCTTCCTCTAAACCTGAAAGTTTTCTAGGGCGACTTGGGGGGACAAAGAAACAAATAGAGGATAACTAACTAATGTAACCTTCTTCTCATCAGACGTGTCAAGTGTGCCAGATGATGCTGCCCAACCAGTGCAGTTACTGCGCTCACCAGAGGATCCACGCTCACAAGTCTCCGTACTGCTGCCCAGAGTGCGGCGCCGTCTGCCGCTCCGCCTACTTCCAGACTCACGTCAAGGAGAACTGCCTGCATTACTCCCGCAAAGTGGGATTCAGGTTTGTGCAGGTCCAGAGGGTCTGTGCTGAGATGACAAGAGGGAATGAGAAACTGGGATTTAGATCTTTGGAAATGTGTTTTCCTTGCAACAGAAACAAAAGAGGATGTAGCCAGGAGCTGGTGTGGTTTGCTGCATGATAAAACCTATTTCAAAATCGGAATTACTAAATGGATTTAAGAGAGGTTTCTGAGAGCAGAAATTATTTGGAGGCATCTTTAAGCTGAAGGAACTTTGTGTTGAATTGAAGTTGCAGACAAGTGTCTCAGGATTGATATTTCCAGCAAAAAGATTGCAGATCTTAATCCTCTAAGTCTCTTTAAGGTTTGAACTTATATTTATGTAAGTTATAATGGTCTGAGGGATGTGTGCCTGCATGAGAAGGGCATAGATTATTTTCTTATATGTGCCTACAATTCTCCAAACACTTCTCATGAACTGAGACAAATGGAGGAAGGCTCTGGATGTGGTTGTGTGTATGCCTGCATGTGTTGTCTCTTCTCCAACCAAATTGATTGCTTTAATAAAAGACATTTTAATAAAAGACTTTTCCCTACAAGGCTTTCCTCCTTGGCATGTTTAGATCACCTCAGCTGCAGCACAGCTCTTAAGACAGAGATGATTTACTTGGGAGATGAGACTAGCAACCTTTTAAGTTCTGTTTTTTCTCTTATTGCCATTGAATACTTTGAGATTTAAAATGAATAGGGCAATTTTTGCTCATGGAGCTGTTCTTTTAAGATGGCTGCAAATTCAGGAAGCCTGTGTAGTTTGTTCTGAAATCACACTTAGTTTTTCAAGGGCTTTTTCTTTCAACTGTGAAGACAAGACACACATAACAAACTGATTCTGAATTTAATTATATACAGAGAAGTGTCTTTTTATGTGGGATCTGATTGGAGGGGGCAGAGCCCACAACAAAGGATTAATTCCGTAGCAAATTAAATGGCTGTGATACTCGGGCTGTTTGAAGATGGGTTAATCTGAGAGAGGGAGGAAAGCTGAAAAATAATGTTTTCCCTGAAATGGAAAAATTGGAATGGAGATGTCAGAAAACTAACCATGGCTTTGGTGCAGTTCTTTGGACTTCACTGGCACCTAAGAATCCCAAATGCAGGCACAACTTCAGCATGCTGAGCTGCTTGTGCAGCATCCTCATCCCTCTTGATGCCTGGATCAATAACGTTGTCACAGTTACGTAGGCCCAAGCTGCACTATATAGGAAACTCAGTCTTTTAGCAGTGATCCAGTGCAAGTCCTTTTGCCTCTAAGTGATGGGCTTGCAGTGTAGAGCAAAGCTTGATCCTGACTCTTAAGTGTATGACCTGGCATTTTTTAAGAACATTATTCATTCCAGATGTCTTACAGTAATATCTTTATGATGCTGTGAGCAGCAAATGCCTTCTTTCTATGTCAAGGACATTAAAGAAGATTTAAACCAAGACAGAGCTCAAGAATGATGCTTGCAGGGTTTTTAGCTTTACTCAGCTTCTCTAGAAGCTAAATTTCTTTAACTTCTCTAGTTTGCATCTGCTCAAGCTCATATGTGAAAACTGGGTTTACCAGACAGGTAAACTTCTGGCTGTGCCATCCTTGTTATCCTGCTTGTCTCTGCTATTTTGGAAAAGGAAGAAATAAACTCTGGTTGCAGAACCATATGTTGATAGTCCTTGGCATCTGCCCTGTGGTCATGTAGCCACTTCGTTTCTTTCACTTTTGTTACTTGAAGGGCTGAAAAACTGAGAGGTTCTTTTAAATCCTTCCCAGGATCAGCTCTATTTTGCTGATTCTCACTATATCCTTGTTTTCATTGATTTTCTGATGCATAAGTTTGGGGTTTGTTTGGTTTTTGTTTGTTTGTTTGTTTGTGTGTTCAGTCCTTATTCTGTCTCCTTTCTTCCTAATACCCCAATGTGTTCAGTGAAGTTTGGAGTAAGACTGTTTTATTTGGGTTTTAATCATGGCAAGTGATTGCATTGAAAATGAGAAAGGCCTTCTGCAGTTAAAAATTAAAATCCCCAAGTCTGTCCTAAATGCTTCTTCCACTTGGAGCCAAGTGTCACCTCCCCACCTTTTCCAAGCACCTGCTGGCCGTCTCCACTGATCTGGGGCTTGTTTTCCTGCTTGGTGCCATCTGGAGAGTTGAGAGGCTGGAAGGTGACAGCACAGGAAATGTTCAGAGGGTTAAGACAACATCTTGTAGTTTTATCTTCTCTTGCAGGCTGCTTTCCAAGACTTTTACACCACCCCTCCTTGTCCTGGGGCTATCCAAGAGTCTTCACTGGCGTATTATTCTCCCTCCCCTCCTTCCTGGGGAGATGATAGCAGAATTTGCAATTTGTAGAAATTACATGGCAAGCCTCTGACATCCTCCATCCACTTTGTTCTGCTAATTGCTTTATTTTATCAAGCTTCGTCCTGCTGGCACTGGAATTCTTGATTACAAAGTGCCTGTTGTTTAAACTTCCATTTACTGTAAAATTAAATCAACTTGTAATCATTTGACCTTGAGCTAGTACTCATTTCATCCCTAATTCTAATTGAAGTACTTACCAAAACTAAGCAGAATGCAAAACCATCTATTGTTAGTTCAGGGAACGCTTGTGGAAGAAACCTGTTGGATATTCCTGGATGTACCAGCCAGACCTTACTGTCAGGATTAGCACTTGTTCTTCCATTTATACTTGGGGAATTTATTCTTCCATAATAACATGGTTCCTGAGGTTACTATCCTAGAAAGTCTCTCTCTGTGTCACATGAGGATCAGGCTTGAAGGCAGAGCTACCTGGGCAGGATGTTTTCATGCTTCCCCAAAGATGACACCAGCTGTTGTCATCGCTTCTCTCTCTAAACTTAAGAACACTACATCTGTGTGTAGATTTTTGGGAGAGAGGGTTCGGCTCCTTCGGGCTGGCTTCTGCCTAATGATCTTTTGAAGTATAGCTTCAAAGCATGGTCTTGATTCCTAAACACTGTTGGGAGGCTCGTTTGGAGGGAAGGATAATCTAGCGGCTTGTTTGGTTTTGATACAGGCTTGGAGCCCTTCCAGTTGCTCAGTAGCTGGGGTCCATCTGTGACGGCAGCATCTGTGCTGTGGTACTGCCGAGCACACAAACAGCAGACCTCAGAACAAGGCAAAAAAGATATTTCTAAGGTGACTTAGCTCCAGGTTTACTGGAGGAAGTTATCCCTTGGGTGCCTCTCACATCCTACAAGCACAAGCATTAGCCCCACGGATTGCCCAGCTGAGCTCCACTGTAATGGTCTTTATGTGCAGTGCTGGCTCAAGCGGAGGTCTGCCACTAGTCATTTTGAGTGACTATTCTTAGGAGAGGCTGTCCTAGTACCTGATTAACATAGGTGCTCCTGTGGGCATGGTGAACCCCATGGCTGGTGTGGCCAAGGCAGGTGAGGACACTCTGCATCTTCATGAGCCCTTGCAGTGCTGTGTGGCTGCTCTCAAAGTACAGCAGGTGGGTGGGTTCTTGAGAGGAATATTAGTTAAATACAGTAAGGCTGCTGGTGGTTTCCATCCTGGGGGAGTACCAGGCAAGGTCTGTCACAGAGCGCACTGGGAGGAGAGGCAGGCTGGGACCAGTGGTGTGACCCTGGTGCTCTGCCTGGCCATGTTTTTAGCTGCCAAGAAGAATCCTTTGGCTCCACATGCAACCTCTGCTCTTCCCGGAGCATCCACCCAGCTCCTAGGCAAGCACTTCCTAGGCAACACCTTTGTGTTAATGATTTTAATGAGTTTAATCAGTTCCTTCCATGTTTCTGTTGCTATTTTCAGTATCTTTGCTGTTGTCGTTATTTTCTGGTGCTTAGTGGGGAATGAGAGCCAATTGTACAGGGTTACTGAGGATTTTGTAGCTCAATATCCTTTTTGTTTTGTACTGGAGACTGACTGGTATTTATGCTGAGATCTTATCAGATACTTTTACTTTAGTTCTTCACTTTCATCTGTGGCAGAGTTGGCTTTCACAGATACAGGGCTGGCGTTTTGCTGAACCACATTTTCCTTTATTCTTTCTGGGTTGTTTTAGTTTCTGAAGGCTAATTTTATAGATCTTGTCACTAGCATCTGATAGTGACATCTGCCCAGCCTGTGAATTCCTGTGTTGTGGCTTAACCCCAGCCAGCAGCTCAGCCCTATGCAGCCTCTCACTCACCCCTGCCCAGTGAGATGGGGAAAAGAATCAGAAGGGTGAAAGTGAGGAAACTCATGGGTTGAAGTAAAGACAGGTTATTAGGTAAATAAAAGCTAACACAGAAGCAAAGCACACCCAGGAACTTACTCCCTGCTTCCCATTGCAGGCAGGTGTTCAGCCATCTCCTGGAAATTTGGGCTTTGTCACACATAACACACATCCCTGAATTATCAACACTGTTTTCAGCACAAATCCAAAATATAGCCCCATGCTAGCTAGTACAAAGAAAATCACTCTATCCCAGACAAAACCAGCACACCTGTATTCTATTCCTCCTTGACTCTTCCATGTTGCTACTGAAGGTACTAAACAAGGACCCACTATAGCCTGGTGCTTGCCTCTACCTGTGCCACTTTGTGTGTATCTTGGAAGCAGCACTGTGGCTGTAACTTGGCTCTTTCTTTGTGTGTCCCCCAGGTGCATCCATTGTGGAGTTGTCTTCATGACCCTCGCCATGCTCAAAGTGCACATCCACGAGAAACACTGCGAAGTCTTCCACAAGTGTTCTTTTTGCCCGATGGCCTTCAAGTCGGCCGACAGCACCACGACTCACATGAGCAGCCAGCACCCAGCAGAGCCTCACAAGACTACTCAGTAAATATTTCAGATTTATCATTTCCTCTTCTCCCTTGCTGGGTAGCTCCAGGATTCCTCCTTTACCTCCCTTTTTTTTTTTTCTGTTTCTGGTTTCTGTCTTCATATGAGAAGAACTGCTGCTTTGTCTGCTGGTGTGGGTCTGTTCCTAACCACAGTGTGCTCTTCTTCATACAAACGTGGTCCCCCGGGTAGGAGAAGAGGAACTTGGGCAAGAAAGAGCTGAATATCGTAGAATTATAGAATCATAGAATGTTTGTGTTGGAAGGGACCTTAAGATCATTCAGTTCCAACCCCCTTGCCATGGGCAGGGACACCTTCCACTAGACTATGTCACCCAAGGCTCTGTCCAGCCAGACTTTGAACACTGCCAGGCATGGGGCATTTACCACTTTTCTGGACAGCCTGTTCCACTGCCTCACCGTTCTCACAGGGAAGAACTTCTTCCTGAACTTGTAAACTGAACTTCCCTTGTTTCAGTTTGAACCCATCACCCCTTGTCCTATAGCTACAGTCCCTGATGAAGAGTCCCTCTCCAGCATCCTTGTAGTCCCCTTTAGATACTGGAAAGTGCTCTGAGGTAACCACACAGCTTCTCTTCTCCAGGCTGAACAGCCCCGATGTTCTCAGTCTGTCTCCATCGAGAAGGTGCTCCAGCCCCTGATCATCCTTGTGGCCTCCTCTGGACTTGCTCCAACAGCTCCATGTCCTCCTTATGTTGAGGACACTAGCACTGCATACAGTGCTGCAAGTGAGGTCTCATGATAGCAGAGTAGAGGGGTAGGACCACCTCCTTTGACCTGCCTGGGACACAGTTGATTTCTGGTATCAAGTGCACACTGAAGCCAGCTCACATTCAGTTTCTAATCGACCAACACCCCCAAGCCCTTCTCTTCAGGGTTGCTCTGAATCTCTTCTCTGCCCAACCTGTAACTGTGCCTGGGATTGCCCCATTGCGCTTGGCTTGATTGAACTTCATGAAGTTGGCATTGGCCACCTCTCCAGGTCCCTCTGGATCCCATCCCTTCCCTCCAGCGTATTCACTGAACCTCACAGCTTGGTGTCATCACAGACTTGCTGAGTGTGCATCAGTCCCACTGTCCATGTCGCCAGCAAAGATGTTGAACATGATTGGTCCCAGCACCGACCCTGAGGGAACCACTCACTACCCATCTCCAGTTGGACCTTGAGCTGTTAACTGCGACTCTGTGTATGGCCATTCAGCCAATTCCTTATGCACCGTGTGGTCTGTCCATCAAATTTATGTCTCTCCAGTTTAGAGACAAAGATACCTGTAAAAGGCACTTAACTGTCACCTCATTGTGCAGCAGGACCCACAATGGCATTTCTTGTTAGAGGGCTCCAGAGTAACTGCTGCATCTGGCACTCGAAAGAAAGAGGAGAGTTACGCCATGCATCATTGACCCAAGAATCACTAGAGAGAAACCTCCTGTGTTTTCCACTCTGTAGCTCTCCCCTCCAAGGGTTGAGCTAGTTCCAAGATTGTATGCTTTAAGGAAGGAACTATGGAAAGGTGGGATTAAAAGTAATGTGTAGCTAGCTGGTATACTTTGAATTTGCTCCCATCTGTCTGCACTTACATGCACACACAGAGTTATGCATATGCATAGAAGTAAACCTATTTTTAGAAAGCTGTGGTATGTGCCTGAGGCATTTTGTTGTTCTTGAGTTAATGGTTAGGTTGTCCACGTGGGTGTGTGTTGACAACCCATTGAGAGCACAGCCCTTCTCAGAAACCCATCCCTTTCTGAAGTTGTTGAGATAACTTTCTGCACTGTCTTCTTAAAATAACTAACAAAGAGAGACTGAGTTTACATTTTAATTGTTCCAGGGTGATCTACAAATGCTCTTGTGAGACGGTCTTTAACAAGAAGAAGCTGCTACAAGAGCACTTCCAGCAGAACACCAACAAGTTGTTAGTGGGAGTGTTCAAGTGCCCACAGTGTCAGCTGGTTTATATGCAGAAACAGCAGTTAATGCAGCATGTTAAGGTAGGTAATGCCCACCATTTGCTGATAGCAGATCCTCTTATTTGGCTCCACAGAGAGTTTATATATCCACTACTTGAGGAAATAGGTTAAGGAAGTGGAAGGTTCTTGAGGAATATATTAGTGGAAAAATAGACTACAGTGATTTACAGTAGTATCTGGAAACGTCAGTGGAGCATTTTGTGTTAGTTGGTAGTAATGCAGGCAGTTGCTTTCATCTATATGTAATTTAACCTTATGACAAAGGCTCATTTTCTGTGAATGCATTCATTCGATTTTTAACTGTTCTGTATTAAACCCAAGAAAGTGATTAAGCCAGAGTGGAAGCTTTATTGCTGTTTGGGAGACAGGGAGAAGTATTGTCTGTCAACAGTGTTACTCAATTTATAGAATGAGAGCTGAATCTCCCTCTTCTGGGTGCTCACTAGAGAGTTTTGACTGCTTGCAGCTGCCTCAGGGAGGCTGCATGGCATTTAACATCCCGCTTCTCTGGCTGCTCCACTCACCTGAGAACTGCACCAGATTGCAAAAGGGGAGCGCGACAGAGGCAGAAGTGATTGCCTTGGAGGTGTACCAGCTCTGGGGAGGTGGGATCCCCACTTTGTCTGTGTTGGTACCAGTCAGGCTGCTCCAAGAAGATGGTCTGAAATGGATAGTTGTGTGCACCCCCAAAACCCGGCTGGAAGTGAGATGTTCTGGAGAGTGCTTTGGACCTGCTCTCCCTCAGTAATGGCTCGTTTTGCAGTAAGCACAGCAATTGCCTCACTGTCATTCATCACTCTTTTACACATACGAAAAATCAGTTATTGTCCATTTAGTGGTGTTTCTAGCAGGATGCGTGGGAGGACTTGCAGATCTGCTTATCCCATGAATGTGCTATGCCACATTTTTCTGTTGTCTTGGTGAATGTGTTTCTATGGACAGTGTCTAACAACGCCGGTGTGGAAATCCTCTCAGATTTCTTGGTGCCATTCTGAAGCAAGAGCTCGCAAAGTCTTATTGCCCTTTGATTAGGAAAAAAAACCAAAAGTGACATATTTTTTTTAATGAGTAACTTGACTTTGTTTATACTTGCATTTGAAAAGATTTATTAGTTTGCTGCTAAAAGCAAAAAACATTCAAAACTACTTCTTTGCTCTCTCCTCCATGCCTTTAACTTGCAAATCTGGAACTGCTTTGCGTGCAGTAATGAATTAAATTTTGAAGACCTCCTATGAAGCTGATGATAACTAATCTTCTTGTATTATAGCGAGGAAAATAGAGTTGAGATTAAGGCTGGGACCTTCAAAGAGGCATTCAACCCCAGTGCTAAAACGCAAGCTTGAGTTGAGGTACACAACTTGCTGTGGCTCATTTCCAAATCCCCCCAGGGACCTGTCTGCAGCAGTTTGTGCACCAGCAGCCTGACATCTCCATACAAAACTTTTGTCTTTTAACTGAGAGGCTGTATTTGGCCATCAACATGTCTTTGAGATGGTCATTGCAGACAGCTTTTTGGCTGTGTCAGGACAGTAACTGCACTAACCCATCTCTTCATCTCCTCTCCTATCGGATCCTGCTCCTTTATGCAATAGAGAGTTTATAGTCTAATGCGTGCCTACATGCAGAATAAAGAAGCCGTGTGCCTCCTCATCCCTCCTGGCTTTCCACTGTTAGCGCGTAAGAGTAGGAGTTAGAAGGTCTGGTTCCTGTTATTGATTCTGCAGAGAAGACAGTTCATTTTTCTGTGCTCCTTTCCACCACCTCCCCGTGGTGTAATAACAGGAGAAATGGAGTAATGGGCACTCATGTACTCTGCTCTGAAATCACTCTTGAGATTTCCAGATGGGGAGAAAGGTGAACTGTTCCTGTTACCCCGTCAGTGCTGTGGAGCTGCTGTCATTGCCCTGCCATTGCATGACACAGCTTCTGTGAACATCAGCTGGATCAGGTGCAAAGCACATGGGCTTCTCAGATGAGACACTGTGTTTTGATGTTTGTTTGGTGTCTAACCCCCAGAAAGACTTCCAAAGGCCTGGGGCCTTCCTGTGTTGAAACTTTACCCGTTACTAATTACACTGCACAATTAAACCTCTTAATTATTCTTTTGTGTGAATGAACTGTTCTTGTTCCTAGGGGAGTGTCTTGAGGTTTCTTTGGTATGTTGCTATTTTACTTGCTTTTGCTTTCCCACAGCTCTTTGCTTCTGGATTATTTTCCTTATGTTCAGTTTTTTTTGTTCAAGTAACTTCTGGGGCGTTCCTGGCCTGTTGAACAACCAAAGAGCCTGGAGACATGTGCCTTGTAAGGCTGGTTTCTGGCTTTATGCTTGCTTTTATTTGTCAGGAATCAAGATTTGAACCGTGAAAATGTAAATAGCAATAGATGGTGTGGAATTGAAGAAGATGGGATTAGAGAAACTGAGAGGTTGTCTCTTCCTGTCCCTTGAGCAAAGATGAAGCAGCTTTGGAGCCCCAAGATAAAAGCAGATGTTTCATTCAGAGCTTACCAAAGCTCAGTCGTTTTAGAGCTTAGGCTCTTGCAATAATGACAATTAACTTTTCTCTTCCGTTACATCTTCCCTGTTTAACCAGAGTTCCTAGAGCTCATCCAAAATATTAAACAGGCAGCACCAAGGAGTTGCTGTTGTCATGCAGGGAACATAAATAGAAGCTTCATGTTTCTCTGGAAAATCTCTTGCTGGAGAAAGCACTGTAGCCAGGTTCAAGGGGAAATGGGAAGATGGGTGGGAGCAAGGCACCAGGATATTGTTTTGGGGGACGGGTGGGGTTAAATTATTAATCTAAATAGTAAATGTTATTTATTTATAAATAAAGATGTATAATATGAATTGCATATAAATGTTACACATGATTCCATTATTATTGCATCTAGGGTGTTCATGGAGTCCCCCAAAACCCTGAGGAGCTCTCAAACTTCCGACAGAAATCTGAGAAGGCATCAAGGAACCAGGTTCATGCCCCAGCAAAGGAGCTGTCAGTGGCCAATGGGACTTCCCACTCCCCTCTGATGAGGAGGGGCATGAGGGTGGAAGGATACAATCCCAAATCCAAGTCCAGGCTGAGAAGAACTGGTTGGACTTGCAAGGAATGCTCACAGTGGGTCCCAGATCGGGAAACCTATGTATCCCACATGAAGAGAAGTCATGGAAGGGTAAGGACTCAGATGAAACACTTCAACTAGGGAACAAGATATTTTGAGCAAAGGAGTCTGGTAATTGTTACTATTTGGGGCAAAAAGAAACTGTGAGTCTCTTTGCAGCTCACTGAGGAGTAAGCTCAGGGTCAGAACAAAAAAATACTATGTAGCCTGTTGTAAGTACATTTTCTGTCCTTGATGGTATACTCTACAACCTACATACCTCATCCTCTTTGCTGCTCCCCTTCCACTGCATTTCATGTCAGGCTTCCTCTTCGTCTCATCTGGGTAAGTGGATAGAACGTCACATCTTCTCCATCTTCTCCATCCTTCTTCGTCGTATCTGCTGGTTCAACAGTCTGATCTAAACTGTCTATACTCAAAGTTACAGAAGGACACACAGTTTCCCCACGTGCTGTATTGTTTGGTAGGCATCGCTACACCTAACTGGGGAAGAGTTACAGACTCATACAGTGTGCAGAGCCCTTTGTTACAAGAACTGTAAATCTCAATTTGTTGGTTTCATCCAGCTCAGGCCTTGTGTTGCCTTGACCTACATCTGTCAAGCTAATCTTCCTGGCAGAACATAGGTCAAGATGTTGTGTGCAGCCAGATTTCTTAGTACTGTGGCATCAGGACTTCTTGTTCTGTACACTGACTCACCCTTCTTGAGGCTGTCGAAATGTGGATCATGGACCTTGATTCCTTTTAGCTTTACTTGGGGAGTGGTAGATTGTTCCACTTGATAAGTATCAAGACTATGGGGACAGCGTGAGAATGCTGTATTTTCCTATTTGAATTCACTAGAAGTAGGAAATTTGCCAAATATGGAAGTTGAATACATATATGTATTTATTAAGTTTAAGTAGACATTAAATGGAATGCATGCAGATTATATGAAGGACTGGAAGGAAAGGAGGAGGCTAGTAATGGGGCAGAGTGATGTAGGGGGATGAGGGTAGCATACACAGTTAACAAGTGGGATTATATGATGCTATTTAACATCTTGCCCTTCTATTGTGCTGAATTACAAGGAGAGAGAAGGGTAAGTGAACTTGTACTTCACATTGGGGTTCTGCGTTCATCTGGGGCAGAAAGGTGTTTCCACTGAATTAATTCTGCAGAGGGTCCTGCAGTGAAATGAGGCCCAGGAGAAGCAGCTAATGCAATTCCTATTAAAAATAATAAATAAAAATCAAGCACGTGCTTTAACTAGTCCTGGTTTTCGTAAGATCAGTGCTAGCATTAGCCAGTGGTTGGGCTGAATATAAGTGGGACTCCAAAATCTCAGTGATGTTTATCAGCGGAAGAGGGATTTTTTTTGCACCCAAGAGGTAAGGTCAAGCTGAAGATTATGGAAATGTTAGAATCCAGCCAGTGCCTTCCTCTCCCTGTTATTAAAATATATTTCTGTTCTTCTGCTAGTCTGTGAAGAGATATCCCTGTCGACAGTGTGAACGCTCATTTAACGCCTCCAACAGTCTGCGCAGACACATCCGCAATAATCACGACACAGCAAAGAAAGTTTATACTTGCTGGTATGTATTGAATACCCCTTTTGACGTTTGTTTTCAACACCAGGCTAAGCCTTCAGGTTTGGAAGCCCTTTGTAATAGATTGTGTCTGCTCCTCTCTGCTCCAGGCTATAAGTTACTGAGGGAGAGTGAGAAGAAGAGTATGTTAAACATGAGAGACTTGGCTAAAATAAGTCCTTGCTTTTGACTGAAAAATGCCCTTTGGAAACTTAGGATAAGGTTTGATTTGAGATCTACAAGTGCAAAATTCAAATTATATTGGACACCCTTGTGGAACAGCCAGTGTAATATTGGGCCACTCTTTTGCTACTTTGTGGTTGATGTGGTCGTTCATCACTCTTGTGCCTTTCCCATGAGAAAGTGGTACAAAAGGTATGTAAAGTCTTAATGAACATGGGCATGGGTGCTAGATCTTGCCACCACTGTATACAGGCAGAACTGACTGCACAAGCTGCAGGGCAATGGAGAATTAAGCCTGCTGGATTTGCTTGAGAAGACGCACCTCAAAGTTGGATAATGGATTTGGAGACTTGAGAATGAGCTATATGAATCAGCAGTGAATGAAAATCATTGCTGGGGAACATTTTTTAGCTGCGGATACAGTCTCAGTTCAGAACAAAGCCCAGTGCTTACAAAACTGCCTCTAAAACAGCTGCGTTCTCATCTGCTGTTGCAGAATAAGTCATATCTGAGTGACTGTGCAGACCTGCTTCCTGTCTCATTCTGACACATTCTTCTGTAAAAAAGAATTAAACCCGCACATTTGTGTTGAAGGGAAGTTTGCAGAAATGGAGGTTGGGGGATTTTCTTTAACTAAGATTTTGGCTTAATGCAAATGTTTCTGAAGAGCGTCCTGTCACTTTGCTGCACTTAAGTTACTAAAAGCCTGTCTTGAAGAGTACATCCTCAGGTGTTTTATTTCTTTGGACTGCCTAGTGAGCCACAGTAGCTTTCAGTAAATGGATAAAGTATTGGCATCACCACTGGGGCCTGATAAGAATACATTCCTGATGCATTTTTCAGACAGGACTTCTAAACTTTCTTTTAACTGTGCTTTGACTTGGAACCTCTGGAGAAGGTGAAATGTTGGCTCCCAGTATGTTTGATGATGTTGCTGATGATCTTTGGAGTTATGTACACCTGATTTGCATCTGTGTATTCTCTCTGGATCAGTTGTTTTCAAAGTGCAGTGTATCAGAACCAAAATGAACTTAAGGCGTAGCTGGGAAGAAGGATTTGTTTAATAGCCTCGGATGTGCCTGCCTGCTGTCCGTATTAGCTTGTACAGGCCCTGGAGTCCAGCTTCTCTATTATGTTTCAGAGCAACACACAGCTGTGGATGCACAGATTCACAGCAGAGAAGGCACAGCTAGAAATTCAAATGAATTGTTGTTGTGTTTAATTATCAAGCTTGTAGTTGCTCCTTCTCAGAATCTGGTGATGAAGTCTTAACTGGAGAGTGGTTGTGCTCCTCAATCATTGTAGCGGGAGACTTAGTGAATTCACAGCACTCTTCAAATGAAACATCTTCGTTGAAATACTTGTCCTGGCATCTCCAACAGCTTCTCTTTGTCTCGATCTCAGGTGTTCTGTTCAGTCTCGCCTTTGTTACCTCTTAGTTTGTCCAGAGTGCTGTTCTAAAAATCTCCTCTGTGACTGCAAATCCTCCCATTTCTTTGAATTCCTTCTCAGCTCCCTTGTGCTCTCTGTAAGGCATCACATCTTTGCTGCTCCTTTTCTTTTGCCTTGGTTGCTGGTGTCTGTTTTCGTTTTTTCCACCAGGCAGTTTGTATCAGTCTCACCTGTTACTCCCTTCAGGACTTTTGATGCTTTAACTTCTTGGCACCCTTTTCTCCTCTTGTGGATTTCCATGAGTAAACGAGTAGAATTTGTCATTGATCCAGCAATTGAGTATTTTGGTGACTTCAGCGTGCTGTCTGGTAGGTCACCTCCCTCTGGCTTCTAAAATTTCATGCTGTGATTTCCCCTTCTCCCCCTGCCCTACTTAGGGCTCTGCCTTCTGTTAAATTTGTAGGGAGACACCAGTGATGGAGGACTTGCTTGAACACCCTCCTGCCAAGCTTGTCACTGGAGTAATTCAGGTTAGGAAAGTATCTTTCTCTGCTCACATAAAAAGAATTCTAAATTAGGACAAATTGCAGAACATTCTGATGTGTATTTTTTTCATAATTCACTTGGTTATTGTTACGAGAACTTGCTCTCATTTTCCAAGGCTTAAGTACAGACTGTCTGGAACGCTTGATTTTCAACATGTTTATTTTTGATAAATATCACTTAATAACCTCTCATCTTCCCTCCATGAGGAAGAAAAAAATCCATCATTATTAAATATTGATCTATCATCTAAGCAGTTCCTGTTAAAAAAAAAAAAAGAAGTATTCAGGGAGCATGTCTGCATTTTCACATCATTACTGACTGTCATTTAATTACTGGAAGCTCAGGAGGAATCTTCTTCTCTCCTTTCAAAATATATCTTTGTTGCCCAGAGACACTCATCTCCTTGCTGATGCTTTTCATCCTTTGCTGCCTGCATTTCAGCTGCAATTTGTGTATTTCAGAGAAGTTCAGTGTAATTTGCCTCATTGCTCAAGTCAGTGTGTAGCTGATGAACCTTCCCTGTGTCACACTGCAGGCAGCAGAAGAGTACAGTCAGTCTTGGATTTCACAGAGACCTCTGTGTACTTCACCATGCTGCAGGGGGTGGGTTACTGTGTCTGCAAGACATGGCACTTATTTCTTGGTCATCTGGGAGTCAAGGTGGCACATCCACATCTCCTTTTGAAATGGATGCTCTTGAAATGGCAGCTCTTAAGTCCTACCAAGTTTTAACGTGAATAGTTACATACATGATGCATTCCTGAGTGCTTCTGCCTAGCTTATTATTAAAGTTGGAAGTTCAGCAGCTGTGTAAGAATTTTCAGTGTGCCATGATACAGATACAGATAGTCTTGTGGATGGGATGCTGCCGTGGGCTCGGGAGCACTGGCTGCGGAACTTGGTTCTGCTGTCAGCCTCCTTGGTGCTACACAAGTCATGAGGTCCCTCTGTGCCTGTGTCTCTCATTTCAGAGTTGTTTCCCCCCCTGCATTTTCCATCTTGATTATTTATCTTCTGTAGCATGTATCACAGTGAGCCTGATCTCCACTAGTTCCTGTATTTAGTACTGGACTGTACATAAGATGTGCCCTACTTTCATTCCCATTCATGCTTACTGTGGTAAATCCTAAACTGTTCTAGATTTCTCTCAGGGGTAATGTTTTATTATTAAACCAGCAATTTGCTGCATATTTTGGTAAACTAATCGTACATTACTGTCCAGCATCTCCACTCCAGTGACACCTATTGGTTTGGCACGTAGCAAAGAACTGTTTGAATGGAAACAAAGAGCTGGGCATTTCCTCTAATAAATTTTCTTCCTTTTTGTATTTCCAAGGTACTGCACAGATGAAAATCAGACATTTCCTCAGCCGTTCATGCTGGAGAATCACATCAGCCTCATGCATGGCATCAAAAACCCAGACTTATCCCAGATGGCCAAAGCAAAAGCTCCAGAGAGAGACACAGCAGAAGTAATTGATACGTTTTCATTGAAAAATAAGTGTACCTGGCGAGTAGCTATTCCCTTGAGGTGTTATATCAAGCCCTCTCATCCACATGGCAGATTTTCTTGTCCTCAACTCCTCCAGTTTGCTTCTCTCTGGCAGTGTCAGGATCAGCTGCACTTCAGCTGAAACTGCACAACATGTCTTGCATTTTTCAAGATATTCCTGAACATGTGGCCTTATGTTTTACTGGCCATTTTGCAGTCTGCTTTGTAACCAGATCTAATTTAGATTGTTATTACCCTTGTTTGCCCCTGCCGCTCTGGTCATGAGTCTGCTACGTTTTTCCTCTTTCTCCTTTTTTTTCTGCTAGTTACACAAGGGTTTTTTTTTGTCTTTAAAATACTTACTACTTAGATCCACTCCCAACGTGAACTGCCTTACTCCTGAGTAGGACTGTATAATTTGTTTTCAGCAAGTGTGACTGGTCAACTGATTTGATTTCGGGTCATTTGGAGTGGAGGGTTGGCTGATGGGGCTTCTTTGCTCTGTTTACTTTAAAAATAGATGTACCTTTTCCATATCACTGTAATTTATCATTCACCTGATTTCTTGAGGGATCACAGCCAAGATTGACTCTCCTCTTTATTTATGCTGTAAGGAAACGTGGGATAGCCCAGGAATTCACTTCCATGAGCTGGTGGCTGCTTCCCCAAACAGAGCCACGTGGCTAACCAGGGACAGCCAGAGGCTTCCCATGGCTCCAGCAGGTCTGCAAATGCAAGCCTATAAGCTGTATTCTAAACAAAGACTGCTCAGTGCTGCTGGATAAGGAGATAAGAAAATCATGTGAAGGGATGTATGCAAGTGTGCCATCCTCGTGGGAAGAGAAGCACACTGTGGGATGAGGGGATGAGTTCATTAGAAATGCCATGAAGAAAAAGCCTGAGTGGAGGGGAGAATGCTCGCAGTTAAATCTGAGAAGCATTGTCTGGGCCAATGACCATCCCTGTGTCCCTCAGCTGCCCCTGCTTGGTGGGCTCCTCCTTCCCACACCAAGTTTTCATATTCTCTTACCACATCATGTTCCTGCCCAGGCACCCCTTACCAGGTCTCCTGTTGCAGGACAGCAGTTGAGATCATGCATGTTGGGGTGAGGGGTTTGGGTGCTGGGAGGAAAGGCCATATGACATGAGTCCTGTGGCACAGCTTTGTCTAGTTTGTTTCAAAATACCGATGTGGATTCACCCACAGGTGTCTTCAGATACGCATGTGGAATTGAGTACTTGCTCTTCCCGGGGCTCAAGCAAGGAAGTAACTTTTTAATGTCTTGTATTTTTTTTAAGGCCAGATCTCCAAAGAGCATGGCAATGGATGAGCTGGGTCAGGCAGAGACCGCTGCGGGTTCGGGCGCGCCGCCAGCCAAAAAACTGAGAGCGCACTGGAAATGCGCCAAGTGCGGATTCACAACAGACGTCAGCACTGAGTTTCAGGAACACATACCTCGGCACAAGACAGACAGCTCCACCTACCAGTGCTTGTTCTGTGGCTTGTGCTACACCTCTCACATCTCTCTGAACAGACACCTCTTCATTGTTCATAAAGTAAAAGATGAGGAGGAGGAGGAAGAGGAGGAAGAAGAGGAGGAGGAGGAGGAAGATGCAAGGCAGAAGGTAGAAAGGGAGATAGGTGAGAATGGACACGAGGGCTATAATGGTGAGATGAACACTACAACAGAAGAAGAAAATCTGAAATGTAAGGAGTGCGAAAGTGACTCAGCTCTTTGTGAACACAGTCAGACGTGTGGCGTGGAGGGTCCTAATAGCACCTCGCAGAACAATCATTCAAAGTCTCTTCAGACTTAAAAACAAAAAAAAAACCCTTTTGGTTCGTCGGGTTTTTTTTGTTGGGGGGTTTTTACTCAAAATACAGGGTGGGGATGGGGCGAATCTTTGAAATATTCTGTTGATTTCTTGGGATGGACATAGCTTTCCGTTAACCTCTATTTGTAAGGGAAATCTAAAAAAGAAAAAACCCAACCCTGCTATTGCATCCTAAGCACTAACTCTGCCAGACCAGAGAGGTGAAAAGGGAAAGCAGGGCAAGAATCCTTGCTGGAGTTTGTCCCAACTCCTGAGGATCAAGGAGCACTTTCTGCAGCTGCAGTTTCCTTAAGATGAGCTCTCCTCGAAGTGTGCACTGCCTCAGCCTCTGCCCGGAGCCAGAGCCTTCCCTATTGCTTTCTTTCTCCTATTTATGGCTTGTTTTTTCTCTTCCCATCCTGCCTTTGTTTTACTCTTTTTAACTCATAACGCCGTCTCAGCAAAACACGCTTGTCAGGACCATGCTGGCTGATCCGGGATCTTCTGTGTTACACGGGATGGGTTCAAGCTGTATGTTGTGCTGTTTTACCTTTAATTGCCAGAATAACAACCTTATTTTCCAAAATGCAGTTTAATGAAATGTCTCAGACCTGAATCATCCTGAAAGAGAATTCTGTAGCCCACGTCCTCAGATGAGCACAGCTCAAAGCCATGTGTCCTGTTAAGGAAGGCCTGGTCCCCTTGGGGATGCGTTGGCCACGTGTCAGTGGAGTTGTGCTGCTGGAAGTTGTTCCCGGGGCGGGAGCAGCAAGGCCTGGTGCCTGGCAGCTTGTCCCAGAAGGGAGCTTGGGCAGCGCAGGGTGGCAGGTTGGCACCATCTCAGGAAGGGGAGAACACACCCCGTCCCATCCCTGTCCGTGGCATCAGTTGGAGTGAAACCACCCCAGCACTGCTGACAGCATCACCTGGTGCCAGTGTTCCCTGCAGCTTGGGCTGAGCTGTGGCAGCAGATGGGGGTCACAGCCCACAGGGGGGCTGCCGGTGCTCCATCCATAGCTCTTCTCCTGACACGGCTCAGCATTACTGCCACTCGGCAGACGTTTCCTTCCGCATAGTCATATTGACTCTCCCTCCTCAGCTGTTCCCCCATCACACGCGCTTTGTGCAGCAGAACTATCTCCTATGCCATTATTTTTTTAATTACATTGAGCCAGAACCCTGCTCATTATTGTTTACTATGACGATGTTTAAATAATTTAAGAACTATTTATCTTATTGCATTCGGATCGCTCACCCGCTCGTCTCGACGTGTTTTGATACGAACAGTTTGGACTCTTTGTATTTTTTGATACAGTGTACGTTAGCCTAGGGGATGTTTTACCAGGTAGCCTACGTAGAACTAAGGATAGCAGGGGGCACCCCCAAGCCACCACATATCTGTTTAACCCGCAGCGGCGCCCGTGCCTTGCTATGATGTTTACTTCGAAATATCGCAAATAAAAGCATCCAAGGGTCCCTGCCTGGCGTCGTTCTTCCCCATCCGGGGCGGGCCCGGAAGCGGCGGCGCGGCGGGCGGAAGCGAGCGCGGAAGCGGGGCGCGCGGGCCGGGGCGGCCGCGCTCGGGGCCGGCGATGCTGTCGCTGGACTTTCTGGACGATGTCCGGCGCATGAACAAGCGGCAGGTCCGGGCCGGGAAGGGGCGGGGTGCCGGGCGGGGCGGGGGGTGCGTTGGGTCTGCCCTGCCCGGGCGCGGGGCCTGACCGACCCCCTCCGATCTCCAGCTCTACTACCAGGTGTTGAATTTCGGCATGATCGTGTCGTCCGCCCTCATGATATGGAAGGGGCTGATGGTGGTGACGGGCAGCGAGAGCCCCATCGTGGTGGTGCTGAGGTAAACGGGGGGGGGGGGGGTTCGCCAGTATTGCTCCGGAGAGGGGGCTGAGGGCCGGAGAGCCGCGGGCCGGCGGCGCTGAACCCGACCGAGGGCGTTTTCCTGAGGGATGGGGCAGCGGGAGGCTCCCGGCCCTGGCTCGCACAGAGCTCGCCCTGCCGTGTAGCGCAGAGCTGCAGGCGAGGGGAGAGGAAGCCGGTAAGCATGGGCGGCAGCCTGCAGTGAAACCAGCATCTTTTCCTTCTGCGTCTGTCACTGCTGGGTTGTACCCTAGAGGGGTGGCCCTGAGGATGGGTGAAGGGGAGGAAGGACTTCAAAGAAATACAGCAAGAGCGAAACTCTGGATCATATCAAACCTCTTGGAGAAATGCTCGGTGGTGCAGGTGAAAGAGCCATGAAAAAGACCTTGAAGCAGAGAAGCTTGGGGTGCGTGCGTGTGCGTGTGTGTGTGTGTGTTATCCCTGTATAAACACAGTATTTGTGGCACAGCCCATCCTGTCATCAAGGGTAACTGCACTTCCCATAGCAGAAGGTGTAGCAGAACACCGCAGCGCAGTGGTATCTCCATGGTGCTGACCAGTCTTGCCGCATGGATAGGTGAAGTACCAAATGAGTCTTGGTGAGTGAAAAGGGAGTTGATTTGAGACACCAGGGGGTAAAGTTTTACAGTTAAAAGGATTTGCTGTTTCCCTGAAATGCCTGGGGAGTGTTATTACATGTTACAGTTCATCCTTAAAAATACTCATCTTTCACAGTGGCTTGGTTTTCCCCTGGCCTTCTAGTAAGCTATAGCATGGCCAGAAAAAGGGGAGCCTTAGCTGTACTCTTTTATGTAAGGGTTATTGCTCTGTGACTGGATATGTTTTAGGTATTGCACGTTGCCCTCACAGAAGTGCGGTGCAGTCGGTACCACCGGTGTTACTCCCACCCTCCTACCGCCTGGGACAGATTCCTTGGGCAGCTGTCAGCCGCTGGTGTGGATACTGCCCAGGGCCTGTTCTGTAGCTGCGGTGCCTTCTCTGTGTTTCTATGTTGGTGTTAATCACCACATGCCATTTAACAAAACTCCCTGCCAAAGGGTCTGTAAGTACAGGGGGCATATTTCATGCTGTTCCTCCAATGAGTAAGACAGGGGCTGTTAGGTCACGTCACTTCTTCAGCAATGTGATCTTCTGAGTAGCAGCTTCCGTGCTGCCTCAAGATAAGCCATGAATATACATGGTACTTAAAGTTCATCGTTTTGTTTTGGACTGCATTATTTATTTGGAATGAAGAAGGTTAAGTATTTTGTAACAATTGCCATTTAGAAGACAGGACTAAAATAAATGAATAGCAGTGCCTGAAATGAGATCGGGAAGCAAAGCCATGAATCATGGTAGCAGATTTTTAGCACACCCGTCTGTTCCAGATGGGATTACAGAGCCTGTGTGTGTTCAGAGCTTTGTTAGTGAGGAGGATCTACCTGCCTGCAAAAAAAGAAACCAAATGAAATACAAAGATTGGACTTGATGATGTTAAGGGTCTTTTCCAGCCTCGCTGTTTCTATGAAAAGAAGCTTCCCACCACTGTGGAAGTTCTACCAGTGAAGAGCTCAGAAGTCAAGAGCTGCTGCTTGTCATCAGCTTTGCTGTTATGAAGAAAGCAGAAGGGTTTTCCCATTTGGTGTGATATTAACACCGGCTGCTGGCAGTGCTCTTTTCCCAGCAAATCTAAACTGCTGGTACGATGGGGATTTAAAATCTGATTGTGATAGGGGTTCAACAGTGCCTGGTCTCCAGGGTGGTTTTCTAAGGAGCTCTTTGTTGAGGTTCTTGTGAGATTTTTCTTAAAGGACTGTAATCTCCAAAACCTGATTCTGAGTGTTAAATATTGTTCAATTGCTCCTTTTCTCTTTTTCAGTGGCAGCATGGAGCCTGCGTTTCACAGAGGAGATCTCCTGTTCCTCACAAATCGAATTGAAGATCCAATCAGAGTGGGAGAAATCGTGGTCTTTAGGATAGAAGGAAGGGAAATTCCTATAGTCCATCGTGTCCTGAAAATTCATGAGAAGTATGTTAAGAATCTGGGGGGTTGTACTGCAGGATGTTAAGCTAAATTATGTTTTTCCTCATCTCCTTGGTTAAATGAACGGGTGTGACGTCAGTAACTGGTATCCAGGTGCTGTAGGAAGCAGCACATAAGTTTCAGACAGACAAAATCTGCCCTCCTTGGTTTACTTGTAAAGGTAATCCAGCAGAATGCAGAAGGTCTGTGTGAGTAACCTGGACTCCCCATGTCACTTAATGTCTTCTTGAGCCATCATTTCCATCCCAAGGTACTACGTATTGTCACCTGTAGGCACGGCTGCACTTCTGTGTGTGAAGTTGTTCTTGTCTGTGGAGGTAGAACTGATGGAAGAAGGGTATTTTGTGTGTAGAGTGCATTATTTTAAAGTTTGTCTTTGTGGAAGAAAGCAGAACCCTCCCTGGCTTCTGCTGTCATGCAGAGGGAGGGTGTTTCTTTTCTTCTCTGTAGGAAGTCTGGCAGTGTTACACTCGCGGTCTCTATGCATTGGGCTGTCCACGTCCTGTTCATTCTCTGAACGTCTGTCAGATTGCATGTCTGAAGGAATGAAGCGCAGTCATTCTGGTTTGGTTGCTGAACAGGGCTTGATTTTCAAGCAAGGCTTCCTCAGCAGCCATGAGCCTTTCTGTTTTGCTGGATGCTGTGACTGCTTCTGGCCAGTCTGGGGGGAAATGAGCCTTCCCCATGAGGCATTTGAGCAAAAATTAAATCTTGCACTGAATCCTTGGTTCTTCAAGCCAGCTCGGAGAGGGCAACAGTTGGATGGGGTTGCAGCATCTGTTTCTGCCTGCTGGAAGATGCATGAACTGGAACTATACCAGTACTCGGAGATCTGTTCCTAGGTTAAGAGAATTACTTGAATCATGTGTAAAGGTGGCATTTGATGACTGCTCCAGTCAAGCGAGGTTGAGGGGATAGAGAAAGGTCCCTTCCCCCAAGCATTCATGGCAGCCATAGCTGTTGAGACACCCAGATCATTTGTTTGGCCCAACAACAAGGTCAGACAGGTTCATGCACACAAATAGTCCAGCTGAAATCCTGGCTATGAGAGGGTGGCACCTCTCCCAGCAGACAGAGCAGTCTTTGCTGTTCAGATTTACTCTGTACTCAAATCTTTTAACAATGCCAGTTTTCAAAGTACCACTTTGATACCAGTAATTCAAAAATAAGGTCAGTATAGTTGATAAATCTGTAATCTAATGCTGCACGTGCACTTTTTGAGATGTCTTGGGAACTCTTAAGTGAAATGGTACTTTCCTCCTCCCCTGTTGCATGCTAAAGTCTCAGCTGGGCTCCAGTGCTGCTTGGGCTGATTATTGAGGAGGCAACAAAGTTCAAGGTCTTCTTTCTCCACTCTCAGCCGCTATCTAGGAAGGGGAAGCAGAAATGTGCATTCTATGTGTCAGTTCATCTTGAGATATTACCCACCCTACACTTTTTGCTTGGTTCTGTCTCAGCACTATAAAGGTATCCAGGGCTTTTCCTATTTTAAGTAACAGGCCTATAGTGCCAGTCGTTGATTCTGTGAAGTAAAACCCTTCTCCAATATTTTAGATTTCATTTAAATAAAACAACCAAATAAAAACCTGAACTTTATGTTAGGAAAGATAAACTGAAAAATCCCTACAGTGACCTTAAGCCAGGCAGAAGCCAGGAGGCAGGACTCGGGTATCA